TATTGCACGATATAGCATATATAAGGTTGGATGACATGCAGTTATAAGTGCCTTTTATGTTGAAATGATTATTGTTAGGTCCTTTGACAATGTTACTGGATTTGATATGTGGACAAATTTTGCATGTCCTATTATTGCAAGGGAATGTGCCATTGTCGCTGTTAGTGGGAAGTTTACTTTTAACTAAATGTTGTTTCAGATTAGGTTTGTCCTTAAAAATATCATTGAGGGCTTCATCATGTAGGACGGGTTGTAGATCATATATGATGCGCTTGAGGGCTTTGTTGAGTGATGGGTGATACGTAGTTATTAACGGTGTGTTTGACAACTACATGTGTGTCCCATTGTGTCTGGTAATGGTACATTAACAGAAGGAGTCTCAAAGTATGTTGACTCACTACTCAGACCTTACGCAATAGCCTCCGCTAGCTATATAAAGGACACAACAGACTTTCTTATGAAACTTAACAATATCAATAATTTGCCTGAAAACACCTTACTTGCAACAATGGATGTAAAATCGCTATACACGAATATACCCCACCAAGATGGGCTGGATGCTATTAAACACACATTGCCGAGTGATATTTCACATAATATATGTTGTTTAGCAGAATTCGTGTTAACACACAACCATTTCATCTTTAACGGATCACGCTACCTTCAAATCAATGGTACAGCGATGGGAACGTGCATGGCACCCCAGTACGCGAACATCTTCATGTCCAACTTAGAGAAACGTTTCTTTGACACCCGCACACTCCAACCCGAACTCTACCTTCGTTTCATTGATGATATCTTTATTATATGGCCCCATGGAGAAGATTCTTTCAACGAATTTTATACTGATTTTAACTCATTTCATAGAACTATCAAGTTTACCGTTGATATATCTAAGGACTCAGTGGACTTTTTGGACACTACAGTTAAGTTAAATAATGGCCATCTTAGTACATCCATATATAAGAAACCAACTGACACCCAACAATACTTACACGCAACTAGCGCACACCCTAAACATGTTACTCGGTCTATTGTATATAGCCAATCCCTCCGTTACAACTGCATTTGTTCTGATACTACAGACAGAGATAATCATTTAACAGAACTAGCTAACACATTTAAGAAACTTAAGTATGACACACATGTAGTTGTCAAACAGATAGAGAAAGCTAAACGTATACCACGCCAAGACCTACTGCAATACAACGAAAAGACATCCTCTAACCGCACACCGTTAATAACTACGTATCACCCATCACTCAACAAACCCCTCAAGTGCATCATAGATGATCTACAACCCGTCCTACATGATGAAGCCCTCAATGATATTTTTAAGGACAAACCTTTCATTGCATTTAAACAGCCCCCTAATCTGAAACAACATTTAGTTAAAAGTAAACTTCACACTAACAGCGACAATAGCACATTCCCTTGCAATACTAGGACATGCAAACTTTGTCCACATATCAAATCCATTAACATTGTCAAAGGACCTAACAATAATCATTTCAGCATAAAAGGCACTTATAACTGCATGTCATCCAACCTTATATATGCTATATCGTGCAATATTTGCCCTAATGCTCTCTACATCGGACAAACTGGACAAACACTAAGACAACGGATTAATGGTCATAAACATGACATCAAACACAAACTCACCCAAAAACCTGTAGCTAATCATTTTGCATCTTCTGTCCACTCAATTAAGAATATGAATGTGCAAGTAGTTAAGAAAGAATTTTTTAAAAATAGTTTAGAACGAGAAATAGCTGAACAGAAAATAATTACACAATTAGACTGTATAGAACTAGGCCTTAACATTGATCGAGGATTCCTCGCACATTACCGTCAATAATTATTTCTCATCATTGTATGTATATTTTTATATTTCTATAGCTGCCTTATTATTAACTATATTTTTGTCTCATAGTTACCTTACTGTATTTACTGCCTATTTACTGTTTTTATCATTGATTTTGACATAGACATATTTTGTATGCTATTTCCCACAGTTTCTTATCATTGATCTTTTGTTCTTTTGATACCGTTTATTTAGATTGCTTATTTCGGCAGACTTGTACTTGCTTTGTACACCATTCTTTGTTGTTTTAGGACCGCCCCCATTATTTCAGTTGTATATTATAGTTGTTTCTTATCCCATTTGTACAGTCTCCTGATGAAGTCCACTGTGTGGACAAAATCTAGAGAATAAATTATATATTGTTAGTCTCAAAAGTGCTGCTGTTTTTTACTTTATACTTTCCTTAGATACTAAATAGCGTCAACGTGGGTTTGACAAGATATGCTTAATAATCACACTTAAAAGCTTAGTGTTCTCAAATTGTTTGACTGAACAGTTATCAATTACTAAAGGTTCAAAAATTGACTTGTTCTTTTAAAACTTTTAACCATTTCAACAATTTTTTTGGCATTTATGGTCATATTATTGGCACAAGTCCATGACAACAAGGAAGGCAAATTTTAATGTAATTAATGGAAACTTTTAGACATGTACCATATATGGAATATCATAGATCTTGCTGGAAGTAATAATGAAATAAAGTAGAAATATTTTATGAATTGGTTAATGCATGGAGGAAATATATCTTAATATATTTTCTCCATGGTCAATGCAACTGTGTAAGATCTTGTTCCTGTTATGCGCCCTAAGCGCAAACTTTTCACACAATGTTGTTAATGAAAGAAAGGTGTTTTATTAAATAGAAAATGTGCTTCTACACAAAATTGTGGCAGCGTTAAAAAAGGTCCGAATGGAACTAAAAGCAATGCCTAAGAAACAGTATAATTCCTACTTATCCAAAATATCTCAAAAAATGAAAACCAATCCCAATAAGATTCTTTGTTGTGTAGTAAATGTAAGTGTAAAAACTGAATAAAACAATTGCGTATACCGCCCAGGCAAAATCTAATATTCCTATTAATCACTTTTCTAAATTTTAGCGACGCTGATGACCCATCGGTTGTCCTTCTAGTCATGAGGTTCCTGTGAGCATCCTGGATACCATACCTATTAATGTCCGTATTTATCTTAGTAAAGTAGCATAAGGCCTCAGGATGGGACCCTGTTTGTAACATCGTCCTTAGGCCATGCTCCGATTCTTTGCCTGTTTCTCTTTGTAACATATTTACCAAATCAATTCTGTCTGGACTTTTTGCCACTATTGGAAACGCTCCAATATTGTTCCTATTCATAAGAAAAAGTAAATTTACATAAAGATCTTGGTGTATATATTAGTTCCATGTTAACGTTTACGTATCATATTAATTTTATTACGGCGAGGGCTAACAAAGTAAAATAATACAATTTTTTAATTTTTTAAACCATGTCTATTGGACTCAAAAAACCCAATTACATATGATTATATCAAATTGGAATTCTAAAAATATAATACAGTATTTGATTTTCAACGATTTTCGTGGTGACCATCTTGAATTTCAAAATGGCTGCCCTCCTGGATTTTGGAAACCATTGTGTACTCAAGCAGCTCAATAATTCAAAGAGAAGTGGAATTACAAGCCAATATTCGCCTTTATACTATTTTTGTGGCGGCCATTTTGAATTTCAAAATGGCTGGCTCCCTGGCCGTTTGAAACCATATTTGTCAGACTCAGAGAGCCTATGTTGAGACACCAAATTTACTATTACAACTAGAAGACATGTAATTATACTGAAATTTCCATTTTTGACAATTTTGTATCCGCCATCGTGAATTTCAAAATGGTTGTCGTTCTTTTTTTTTTGAAACATTGAATTCAGTGACCCCAATAACATTATACTTAGACACCAAATATAGCCTTTTACATTGAGTAAAGATATGTGCCAATATCTAATTGTATGGTGGCCATTTTAAAAATTGTCGCCAAAAAATGTGTTGAGCCTTTTCCTTGACTGACCCCCAACCCCACTCATTTTTTATGTAGAGTAATGCTAAATCAGTAGAGAAAGCTTGAAACATAGTCACCGGTGTCATTAACTTTATAAACTCGTGCTAGACCGGGCACAATTTGTACTTCGCTCTTAAACAATAATATGAGCCTTACCAACAAGTTACAAAACTAGTCTGGAAAGTGCTACTTTTGCTGGTACTTTAACCGATCGCGATTTTTTTTTCCCGTACGAAACATTTACATGAAACTCCACTCGGGCCGTTTCGGCTGAATCCACCCGAAAATCTCATTGCAGAATTCAGGAGGTCAAAAGGTGATCAACAGATAAACGTCTACAGAACAACTTCTGAGTAGTACGGAAGCTTAAAGTGACCTTCCGCGTTTCCGAGTTTCCAAGATAATTATCATGGAAACATGGAATAAGTATTTATTAAGACGTCTTTCCGAGATAATTTATCTCGGAAAGACGGATTTCCGAGATCTGTCTCTTATACACATCTAGATGTGTATAAGAGACAGACCGTAGGTAAACATAGAAAGAGCAATAATAGTAAAACTCGAGCGTCACGACATTGCGAAATGTCTGCTCTTGTTCCTCGTATCGTACTCACTCGAGTCAATCCGAGATGGCCCGAGTGAAGTTTCATGCAAATGTTTCGTACAGGAAAAAAAATCGCTACCCGATCATACACCGTGCTAATTGATTTCATGGAGAACATATGTCGAGGCGCACGCGCACCAGATCGTTTGTTTTTTTTTTATGACGACATGCTCAGTCTGCCACTAGCAAACTGCGTCACGTGCTCACAGAAAGCAGAAATGACTTCGTCAGCCCAAAGTCAGTTTATATTTTTAAAATATAACAAATGAAGTCTGAAATATTGAATATTGCATCGTTTTGTTCTGACTTTCTGTTGTACTACCTTATTATACTGTATATATGTATACATAATGCGTTATAAAATATGTCACCAACTCCCATAAATATTAATTGCTGTAATAATTCTATGTAATATTTCTGTATGCATCGCATAATATTCATTAATAAGCATGTTATTGAAATCAAAGACCAGAATTACCAATCAGAACGCCTTAGGTAAGTTAGCCTATATAACATTCATACGGACAATCATTTACTAATACTGCAATGCCAAGTACTAGAAGTTTTCTTCATTTGTCATAAACTGAAATCCGTGAAAATTACTTGTTCAGGTAATGGAAAATTTCTTTTTTTTTTGCATGTGGGGATTTAATGGAGCACAGCTTCTATATTCTCTGCTCAATGACTATAGTTAAGATTAACTTTACTCAAGAAGGATGATATATTGTTGTATTTTTATACTGGATAATAATGAAAATTCACTAATTCCTATGTCCAAGTTGATAGCGTTTATGTTACTTCAAAAAATGATTTTTATGATATTTTGGGTATTTTGCATTAACAATACATAAAATGAACGTAAGCAATTTTTACCAATTCGTTAATCAGAACAACAATGTTTCTATATTCTTAAAATTTTATACAGCCGGAGTTTCGAGCTAGGCAACCTTTGCTATAAAGGTACACTTTCTCCATCAAAGACTTCTTCTAAGAACGGAATTCACAAAAATCTTTGAAATTTTAATATTAATTTAGATTCTCAGATAATCGCTTAAGTAATAAACCCGCAAAAAAATACAAACACGATTATTAATAAATGTAAAAATGAAACATATGCCCAGATGTTTTTATGAATTAATTTAAGCTATCAGAGCAGTCATTAAAAATTGCATGAATATAGTGTAGCTCCATAAAATACAAGGTTCTAATACAAGTATGCGTTTTATTAAGTGCTTTTCACACCTCTGCCACACATTTTGATCAGTTGTAGGCCTATTTGTAACCATTGATTTTCAAGACCAGTCACAGCTTAGCTTTATAGACTTTAGTTGTTGCAATCTGAGAAATGGTTAATAAAAGATTTCTTTATGAATTAAACTATCCACATCAGTTCGTCTTTCGTCTTTCGTCTTTTGATAGATTCCACCATAGAAATATTTTTAATATTTATACGAATACCTTAAAAATCAATACTTGGAACTCAGTTTGTAAATCGGATTTCCTTGAATTGTATCATAAATTAACATGCCCATATACATTTTATGACGTCATCAAGATCCTTAAGCCCTGTCAAGATCGTCAAATATTTTTTTGACAAAAACATGTGAAGTGACTAGATCACAACAAAATGCAGGCACTTCATATGAGCTTATTTAAGTCAACATGTTTGTGCTTCAATAAACATCTGCTTTATCGCACGTATGTAGGCCGTAGGATTAAAATCATATTTTTGTATTAGCATTTATACGACAAACGATGGTGTCAGGCAACAACTTTAGGTAGAATCGACATTTGTAGCGAAAAAAATAGTTTTCTTTGTTACATACTTGAAAATAATTGTCAGACTTTATTTGTACAATGTATCTAATAAGAAATGGCCGATATGGTTGAATACAGTGACTCCAATAATATTACAACAGTAGGCTGGACGACTGATAGGTCTGTGCCCTCTGACATCATTGGATATATTGCGTCGACAATTGCTGTCGTTTTCTTTGGTGCCAATCTAGTCCCTGTCAAGAAGGCCGATACTGGTGATGGTAAGACGTTTTTAAGAACTCTTAAACATCCTGAAAGAGCTTTTCAATATTTAACGTGTCAAATATCCTAATTAAATTAATGTATTAAACCACTTAATTGCAAAGTTCTACTAACACATTTATATTTCATTTGCACCCAATGTAACACTTTACCCCATAATGGGCCCTGCCTGGATAAGTGGGCAACCCAATCCTTCAACCCTATTGCTACCCCTCCTGTTATACTTTTGAAGTCCTAATAGGAGGTCGGCTTTACTAATCAGAGCCAGAGCCCTGAAGAAACCATAATAAGCATTGAGTGCAGAATCCTATGTCATCCATAGGTGAACCCATATGGCACCCATATAACTCCATATGGAGTTGTTACATGGGTTCTGATTAGAGCACACCATTCTCGACCGATTAAGTGTTTTAAAAATTATGAAGGTAATGTTGCTGTTCAGAGGGGCTTTTTTATACCTATAAATCTATATATTTATAAAGTATGTAATTTCTGACCAATAACGCCAAAAGAAAATTGCTGCAACGGTGTTCTTACATTACCTTCTGGCATAACCTAACCACAACGTTCGAGAACGTTATAATAACATTTTGTGTTTATGGAAAGCAACTCATATAGTTTTTGCAAAGATCAGAAATTTAATGAAAGCCTTGATAAAACCAAAGACTATAACACTATGTGAATAATAGGAGTTGAGTACAATACCGGTAGCTTATTCATATTCATTATTATTGGTAAATATCAGAGATCATTCAAACTTTTAGAAAGTCTGTCAAAAACGTGTTTAAAGAGCTCTAACCTGCTATTCGATAAATACTACCCCAATATCAATGGAGTTATGTAAAAGGCATGTAAATAAAAACGATTCTTATATTTTCGCTTAGGTATGTTTTATCAGTGGATAGCCTGTTCGTCCACCTGGTTAATAGGGCTTATTGTCCATTTGATTCGAGGCTGTCCACCATTTAAACCACTGGCGATGCTTGGAGGGCTTTTATGGGCAACAGGTAGGCAAATGTTTTAGGGTTATTTTAGCAAGAAAATTTAACTGTACCCGGAATTTTTCGTTCGATATAAATGGGAAATGCACCCAGGATTACTCCGGAAGTAACCCGGGTCGTTTCTGCCTTTGGCAGAGTAAAAGGGGTACCAGACAAGGAATACAAACCGTAGGCCAGTGTACACATTTTGGCTCATGTGCACTATAAAGAACGCAGTACATCTTTCGAGAGAGTAAGGGTTTACCCCGGTGCACTGGTCCATCTCACAGCCCCTGCCACTGTGACTAGACCGTGGTGCGCCTTCTTGGCTTGCTCATGACACGATGGGACCCTTAGGGGAGAAGTAATTTGTAAAAATGAGTAGTCCACACCCGGCTCGGCCCAAAGCCTTCAACTGTGACGTTGGTCTTCCATCCAGAAGAAGACGAAGATGATGAAACTCGGTGATTTGACTAAATCATAAATTTACAATGTGAAGTGTGCTGAAACCTGATTTGTAATAGTTTATTGTTATTATTATATCTATTATCAGGATATTATTAATGTAATTTTATGATGATTAATATCAAAGGACTTTTAATAATGCTATTGCTAGGTCATATCACAGTGGTTCCAATTTTGAAGACAATTGGAATCAGTCTCGGCTTTATGATATGGGATTCCACTAATCTTTTGGCAGGCTGGGCAAGTGGAAGGTAGGTTAAATTTATAATTGTTTTTAAATCTTGACAGCTAGTAAGATCATATATCGTCAACGACTTAACAACATCTATTAAAACATTTGAGATTTGTTATTGTTTAAGAAAACTCAAATGTTTAAATGTTGACAATGACAAGTTGTATTTCTTTTATAAAAGTTTTATTCAACCTGTGATTATTTTTTGTTTTGTGGGCTGGCTAAATTAATTAACTGAGAAGAATCAAATTACAAGAGACAGCAAGCAAGATAATTGGTTTAGATAATGATGTGAATACAATTAATTTTTGTGAAGAGGCTATGTTATCAATTAAAAGAGATTTAACTCATCCATTATAATAAGCATATCACATACCATGTATGGAAGAATGACAACTCATATGGTAAAAACGAATAGACATAGGGACGCTTTTTTGCCGAGTGCAATACGGCTATTTAGTAACATATTTTCTAGAAACACTCTAAATACTTCGATCATGGATAATCAAATACTTTTAACGTTTTTCGTGTATTTTTTAAATATATGTTTCAAACTTATAACTAACTTATAACAGAAAATAATTTCATATTGCTTTGACATGATAAATAAAACAAATTTTAATTTGATGTCTTGAAGTTAATAATTTTATCTTGGTTATTACTGCAAAATGTACAAACCTATCAACTTGTGATATAATCTTTTGGAATATGTTGATACGTATTATGTTTTAAAATGCTTAATAGAACAATCAACAAGTATTTTATATGTCGATTTAAGTATGACAAAAAAGAAAGCCTAATACATGTATTTAAAACTACTTATCTTTAAGGAAAATACAAATACAACATGAACCATAACAATACAACAGGTCAGACGATTGTAATATGAAGATTATAATGTTAATATCAGTAACTATATTAATCTTACTCCATGTTTTTAATAAGCAATCATTGTTAGAATTATCGTTGATGCTCCGGTTAAAGGATTAAAGTCAACACTGAGTTTTATTTTACAATAGAACATTATTTTTTTTAAACTAAGTGTCACATGAGAGTCTTTAATGCCTTTTGTAATTATTGAACGTTAGGTTCTCCAAAAAAATATTGCAATGATAGTATTTACTTATTATTATTATTATCATCATTAATTGATTTGTTAAGCGGAAAAAATAACTAAATTATTAAAGAATTTATTCAAAAATGAATTTATTGTAATATGATGGTATGAAGAAAATGTTGTGTTTCCCTTTTTTTTTTAAATGCAGAAAAAAAAATGTAAAGGTTATTGGCAAAGATGTATAATTTATTAGAAAATATTTGTAATATATATGACGTTTGAAAACTAAATAAATTACCTTTTTGGTTGAAACGAAAATGAAATCTTTGTTAATTACAAAAGGTATATCAAGACACAGAAACGTAAGTTGTGCAGAGTAGCTTGCGTATAAGACGTCAATTCAATTACAGAGGTTTATAAATAATTGTTCGTAAGATATAGTTTTTTGTTTTTTTTCAAGACTGAGCTCCGATGACGATGCTGAAATAAGAGTTTAAGATATTTTAGCTTATTTACCAATACAGATGAAAATCAATTTGTTAATTCTGTTTCCTTTTATTTAAGATTTGGTTTGTTTGGTCTTCACAAAGATGTTATCACAAGACCAGTGTGTTCCTATCTTGGAGTGGCGTTTTCTTTGTTAAGGTATATTTAGGTGGATTTATTCGGTGTAAAAATCAAGGTTGAAGAAGACTTTTGTTTTTTCGAGTAGGGACCTTCTGGTGGTGATATGGGCAGCACACCGAGAGGCATGGCATTCCCTTAATTTGTTCTCCGAAGTGTACTTAACGTACACATGGGCCAGAACGCACACAGGATCAACGGCTTAAACATCTCATCTAAAAGACGGTGCGCTATCGTAACTTACATTTTAACCCTCCAGTTGATATTCAAGGAGAGCAGCGATGAGAATTGAACCAGGGACCAAGATATCTCCGTAGTTCAGCGCAGCGGTTGTGCCAGAAATTGGCCGACAATGGGCCCGACATGTGCAACGGAGGGATCCGAACCAAGTGGCCGACAAAGCCTTTGTCGGCGATCCGGAATAAAAAGTCCTTTGTAGGGTTCAAGGAATTTTTATAGCTTAGTATGGTCCAAAATGTGGTTGTAGAATATTAGGGATTGGCAGTCAAAATAACGTTATTTGGATAGGCAAATTATTATTTTTTTATGTTTGATCCGACGACCGAGTCGTGCGTCGTACGACAGGGGTTCAGGCCTGTCCGAAGGGGCAAAATCCCCCCCCCCGCTGGCGTCACCATTGGTTCAGCGCACACACAGTGGCTACCACCAGTTTAGCCGACTGAACTATACTGCTCTCGAGGTAAGCTGAACTCGTAAGGTGGTTACTATTCTGTGATGTCCATCAACGATCAGCAGACTGCATCGTACCGTCAGTCGCTCACAGGGAGTGGAGCCTGATTCGTCGACGGCGGACAGTCGTACGACTGTGTGTATATAGGCCTAATACTTAATGCACAAGGAGTTACACATGGGCCGTTTTATTATTTTCAAACCGTCTGGTTCAAGCTCAGCAGGTTTAGGCTAAATAATTATGTGCTTAATATTTCATTAGGAGATACATGACCATCAATAGCCTATTGCTGCAGGGCCTATACTACAATCAAGAGCGGATTGTTTTACTTTCATTTCATCTTTTCATTCAATTTTTAGAGCATTTATGTTAATGTTCGTTGAAGAAAATGTAAGTGCCGAAAATGTCCCATCTGATGACGAATCATCTGTGTTATTAAAAGAGAGGCAGAGACGGGTAATTACTAAATGTTCATTTCAGAGCTTATAATTATGTAGGGCCTAGGCCTATATTTATAAACTGTATAAACGTAGTTCCATATTAAGTTTATATAGTTGTTTTGTTGTCTGTGTAGGCAAGTACACAAGTCACAGCCGCTGAACCAGAATGCTCTGTTGGTGCAGCGTCATGGGTCGACAACCTCAGCCCAATCTATAAACGAGTCGTGTAAGTTTACAACTGCATTTTTAAATTGTTAAAATTAAAATTTACTGTTCCTGTTTCAAATTCAATTTTGTAAATTTGATACTTTGATAGCCAATCACCGTTTAGCGCCAGTAGTCTTTGTCTATTTTTTTTTATAATACAGTAAGGTCATTTGTGGGGTTTGGTCTTACTGTATTACGGGGTAGGGAGGAAATGCTCCTCAGACTGATAAAGCTAGGATCGATAGGGTGATTAGGAGGGTGGAGATGATGGTCGAGGAGAGAGTGTGTTCGGAACGTGTATCGCGTCTGTTCAAGTGTATTTTGGATTGTATCCGTCGTTTTAGATTACCGGCCTCTCGCACAAATCGCCAGTCCCTCTCCTTCTACCACAGGGCATAAAACAGTTTAATTCAAATTTTGAAAGGGGATTTCCTTTTTCTTGGTCTGATTTTATTGTTTTCCTTTTCTTTTTCTCTTGTATTGAAACGTCTATACATTTTCTTTGTTAACATTTTATGAATTTCATTTTTTGAGGATGTTTTTGAATCTTTGAATCTTGACTGACACTGACTAGCGGATTGATCGGCCCAGGATCTTATTAAAATCAAATCTTAAAAACATAAACAATTTTATAAAGGGATGAATAATAAAAGTGTAAAACAGTCAGTAAAAAAAATCGGATTGGACTAATACAGATTTTCTCAAAATAACATACAGACCATTAACATATTTTTTAACTAAACATTTAAATTCGGATTAATGATATTAAAAATATCATTAATTGTATATTTTTTTCTAGGGGCATTTGTCTCTCACTAATTGCAGGAATATTCTATGGTTTAAATTTTGTCCCATGCATCTGGATTCAGCAAAATGTTGAAGGATCAAGTAGTAATGGTAAGTAGCTGTGGCGTATGCAAGAGTGCGCGGTGGTGGGGGAGGGGTGGGGTCTGGTAATTATTGTCACTGGGTAATTTTTACTTTTTCAGTTCTGATATTCTAAGTTTTGTTCTTCTTTCAGGATTGGATTATGTATTTTCTCATTATTGTGGAATTTATCTAACCTCAAGTATCTACTTCTTTTTGTACTGTGTATTGAAGAGGAACCAGCCACAGTTACCCCCGGGGTTAATCTTACCATCGATGGCCGCAGGGGTGATGTGGGGTATAGCTCAATCAGGCTGGTTTGTTGCAAATGACATCCTTTCCACATCTGTGTCATTTCCGATTGTTACAGCAGTGAGTACAGTTTATCGCACACTCTAATTCTTTTTTTGCTACTATCACAAATCTACCACTACAACTACGTTATCGTTTGGGATGGTGGGAATGACCTTTATCAACAATATCCAAGGTGGACAGGCTTTGTGGAACGGTTCGTATTTTACACCGACTAGCTACTGCTTCTTAGACCTATAATGTCAAAACTGCTGCTAGTCTGTGCATATTTTTACTTTTTTTAAAAATTAGACACAAGGCACAGTTAAGAATAGTTTCTATACTCTTTTCGTGGTCACTGGCATAGAATCAATCATACAATGCACAAAGTCCTTCACTCCATGTTCAAAATTGTAACCAACTTGCCCATCCATAGATCAAAACAGACTTAGTCCAGAATTCGATTCATATCCAACTCGGTTCAAAACCAATTCTGGCCAGCAGAAAATTCTTGGCCAAAACTTACTAGGACCAGACATTTTTATTAACTAACTTCCCCAGCCCTATAGTTTCTCTAGCTCTTGAAAATAGTAGAAAAAGATAAATATATCCAAATTGAAAAAGAAAAAAAAATGTGGACTGATGTTAGCATGAAGTAGTCACGAACCACGCCCATGCGCAATAGACCTTTCTGGAGTGTCAATCAAACTTAACAACTGACTAATCAGAACAGCGCTAGATACGCACGCGTCTCACAAACACATGAGTTGTCCCACAATGCACGTGTTCGCGTATGCTTTAACACTGGCTATGTTGTCACACGGCAGCTAACGGTTAGCAGGATCCGGATCCTGCTAACCGTTAGCTGCCGTGCGTCTATGCGAGAAAATCCCGATCCGGATACCAACAATATGATGATCGAATCACTGGCCAATAAGAAACTGGAAATTGTAAACGCGTACGTGTGATTGGTAGATGATAGAAACGCCCTCAACTTGCTAATCGATAGCGCTTGCTAACCGTTAGCGTATCCGGATACCGCTAACGGTTAACGCTAACCGATCGGGCGTTCTCACGCAGGTGCTAACGGTTACCGCTAACGGTTAGCGCCCGATCCGGATACTAGGGCTCTCGTGAGAACCAGGCTACAGTCGTCTTGTGGGACCTTAGCAAGAATATCCAAGGGGTGGGGCTTAGTGGAAATGTCCATTCAGCACAATGACAAAGTATCCTGCCTTTACCATTACCTTTATCTGAAAAGGTTTCTGGGTTAGAACAGAACAAAGAAAAAACGAATACCATGTAGGTTGAGAATTAGAAAGAATGTCAGAGGTCACAAGTGCTTTTTAACATAGTTTTGTTATGATAAATCGACATTGAAATAATCGAGCATTTTATTATTACGTTTTTAATACATTCATTTATTACCGAAATCGACCAAGGATAAATAATAGCTTGTTATATAGTGTTTGACAATCCAATATTTCATAATTTGAATACATTATTCGTTTATTGAATTTATTAATTTATCACATTTTACGTTAAATCATAATTCAACAATCAAATAGTCGTCATTAATATGCCTTTGTGTAAAATTAACAATGCGTTGAATCAAACCTCGTCCGTGAGAAAGACCACACATGATCAATGGAACAATACAATCATTACCGTACCGTACTTATTTAAAATCCTTCATTTGAACCGCCAACGTTCGAATTTGCCGCTTGGTTTGGACCACGCGCGTATTTGCTGCACATTGTAAATTGTCAGCAAACAAAGTCTACAGAATACCAATGTACGGTGTGTTAAAGCAGTGGAGGAGCCAGAGTTGTTTGAACGGGGTAGCTGAACAACATTTTCAGAACAGATAAGTGAGTAGCGCATATTTTAAAACATAACATTGATATTCATTGAAATTTTTAATTAATGTCAAAACGGGGATCCGAGCATGGTAAAGCTACAGAACTTTACAGACACAGCCCCGCATGACGTGCGATTGTCTGTCTAATCGTATATAATAACAGTGACAGAATCGGCGTATTTAAAATATACTGCTTCGGAAGGAATCGGGTGTATGAAAAGATTCGTCGCCTGTTGTCAGCTTGAATAGGTAACTTGCAATCTCTCTTCATTATGTTTGACTTTGGTCTTCGCTTGAAATAAGAGTAATATAATGTTTGTGTACACTTTTTAAGACTGCATTCGAAACTTGTTGCATTACAAACATTCTGATGCCAGTGCTGCAACAAACGTTTTATTATTTAGTTTTGATTCAACATGGACTGTGGTCCGAGGAGTTGGGTCTGGACCGGTTTGAAGTAATACAGTCTGAGTTGGATTTTGTTCCCGATTGTTTGGTTAACTGCTACTGCTATTGATACTACTGCTGTAGCAATAGCGGCTACTTCTACTGCTGCACAGCTGCTTCTGCCACTTCTGCTTCTATTGCCGGTACTGCTGCTACTGCTACTAAGTATGGCTTACTAACACAATTTATTTATTTACCAAATTTGTATAGCGCCCTGTTCATGAATATTCGTGTTTAAAGGCGCTTTACACAAGAATACAAAAATATAAATTTAGATAATAATAATATTGTATGCATTGCACCTGCTATGA